TCTTAATCACAACTTGCTGTTGCTGTGTCCTTCCCCACTGCTGTATCATTTGTCTCCAAGTCTCCACAACCCAATAACTTTCAGAGCACAACAAGCAGGACCACAACCATGCCTTTAAATAATAAATATGTAAATGTAGAAGATGTTAAATATACCTGAAACAAAACCACAAACTTTATTGTACTCAGTGGTTTCTATGGCCCTGTTGTATACAGGTTGTATTTTTTGTAATATGGTGGATGCAATTCACTAGAACTGATATTATACCAAGTAACATGTTGAGGGTAAGATTATAATGGTGCTTATAAGATAAAGATTAATAAACTTTCAAAAAATGCAGTCTCACACAAACCTTTACATTTGTTTTAAAAATAAACAAAAGGATATAACCCATATATAATACATATGGCAAGAAGACTATTAAATTACCAGCAAAGTGGAATGTATAAACCGTGTAGTATTTGGAAAAGGCTAATATTTTCTGTGTAATTCTTCTTTCAGCACGGCTCATGCAGAAAGTCATCTCGAGAACATTTGCGACGCTTCACTCTCAGGTGAAATCTGAATCCTGTGTCCTGACAGTCTGCGACAGTTCTCTTATTATTTGGCCAAACAAAGGGGTATATGTCACACCTGAAGAAATAACTCCGAACACACTATGTGAAGATATACATCAATGGATTCAGTAAGTTAACTTTTAAGAAAAAGAAGAATTCGTTCTCATCTGAAAATGTTTTTTTATTTGGCTGAATTGTGGTTTAATGTTTTTTTTATTTCAGGACTGATGAACAAGAGAGCGCTGGGAAGAGATCCTCTAAAAAGAAAAACAAAAAAAGTTCAGCAGCGGTATGAATTGTAACTGTTTAGTTTATGAAGCTAGTTAGGAGTTGTATTTTGCAGCATGCTGTAAACTGTGCTAATGGGGGGGAAATCGTGACTCCCTCTTGATTATTCTCCCCTTGCTAACCACCATATTAGCAATATTTTGTAGATATAGAATATATTTTGTTTTTCTCCCAATTAATTTGACTATTGGAAGGTTTGTTAAATGCCTGAAAAAGTGCCTTGTCACAGTTTGCAGAAATACTTGCATACAAATAATTGATAATGAAGATATTTGCTGATACATTTTTTGTAGGTAATTCAACTATGCCTTACTTGTATGGTGTCCGTGTGTGCTTGAATGTAACTTCAACCTTGTCATTCAGAGTGTCATTAACCTTCGCCTGATGATGGAGGTGACAAAGACAGGCCCTCTTTCAGCACCAATCCTCAGGAGAACACTGCAGAAATCCCACTTCCTGTCTACAACTCTTCCCATGGACTGTGTGGTCCGTACCACATGCAGCGACACAATCAAAGAGTATGCATTATTTCAAAAGCATTTGATATCAGTTCAAACATTCTGAAACAGTCAGACACTTGACACACCATGAATAGTTTTTGCCCACTGTGAACGTTTCTTTCTGTGTTGCAGTGCCTTTGAGCGCCTGTTGGAGGCGCTGACTCATCAGCTGTGTGAGATGGAGAAAGTGACTCTGCAACACATGAAGGGGGCCACACTGCTGGTACCTGAGCCGCTCCACTTCCTCCTTCCAGAACCCAAAGGACTGGTGACCGTGGTTTACCCTGTAGGAGTGCCTGACAGCCAACTAGAGACACATCGTAAGGTAAGACTGAGATTCTCTCAAATAATAACAAACAGGCGACATGTTGTTTCTCTAACTTGTTATAATCTTAACCCCTCTAGCATAGGGCTGCAATTTAGAGTGTTTTTCATCGGACACAATATCTCTGTCATAATAGGAACTGCATCAGCAGTTTGAGCTACCAGATGACTGGCCTTATTTTAGGAGAGCTAATGCCTTCCACTTTTCCAATGAGCCCTACAAAGATGGCTACCTCCGAAATCCTCATGTGGTCCTCACACATCCCACGCTGGACAACGGAAAGGTGAGGCACATTACAAATTAAAATCTGTTACATTCTAATTCCCCTTTAGAAGATACTGAAACATACTTTTAATTTTGTGTGTGTTTCCTCAAGGTGTACTTGGTGCAGGGGATCTACAGCTATCACCACTACATGCAGGATCATATGGATGACAACGGCTGGGGCTGCGCTTATCGCTCGCTGCAGACGATCTGCTCCTGGTTCACACAGCAAGGCTACGTAGAGCGAGCCGTGCCCACCCACAGGGAAATCCAACAGGTACAGTAGTGGGGCTTTTACATATCACACAAAATATTAGACATTTCAAAAATGGCTGCTCTTAATTGGCTTTCAACTTTCCAGACTTTAGTGGATGTTGGAGACAAACAGGGCTCCTTCGTTGGATCGCGGCAGTGGATCGGCTCCATTGAGGTTCAGGTTGTTCTGAACCAGCTGCTGGAGGTCACCTCAAAGATCATGTTTGTGAGGTGTGTTGTGTGAATCCTATGGATAACCCATTGTATGAGAATGTACTTTATTCAACACGACTTGGACTCATCTGATGATATCTGTTTGTACTCTTTAGTCAAGGCTCTGAGTTGGCATCCAAGGGCAGAGAACTGGCCAACCACTTCCTGACTGAAGGGACTCCTATCATGATCGGTAAGCTGGATATCTGAAACATTTCAAAACGTTACATAAACTGATAATGCAAAAACTGAAACCATAAAATACTTTGTGTATATATTTCCATATAAAGGAAGATCATTTCATCTTTAGCATTAACACTGACTCTTTAGCAACATAGAGTTTATAGCTGGTCAAAAAAGTAATAATTGACCCTAAAATGCCATTTATATGGCTAATTAAATGTAAACTTAAAACCATTACAGCATTTTCTGTAAAAGAAGAGAATCTTTAAACAACCTTTAAACAATTCCTACACTTAAAGGTCCCATGTCATGCTTTTCCGGTTATTACCCGTCCCCTTGTGTGTTATGAAGGTTTTTCTGCATGTAAACGGTCTGCAAAGTCACAAACCCTCAAAGTACACCCTGTAGCGAGTAAAACTCTAACAGAGAAAAGACCTGTCTATGCTGCCCCAGAACGCCTCGTTGGAGATTTCTCTTTTTCTTCCTGGGTACAGTGACGTGACCATACCAATAGGTCCATTTGGGACCAATCCGTGGAGCTCCTCACACAGACACACACTCTCTCAGCGGCAAAACTGTGGCGCGCTTACACTAGGTGCGCCGCGTTTAGGGGTGCGGGTGCTAGTGGAGCCTCGCAGATGGGGGTGCTGCAGCCCCCTCAGCATCCCCCCCTTCCCGCGTCCATTCGCGATGTCTCGCTGTCTCGCAGACCCCACGCAGCAAGCAGGAAATGAACCCAGCTCACACTGTCCGCTCCTCGCAGCAGCGAGCCGCACAACGTCCCGCCAACACGGCACCCAGACCCCACGCAGCATTCTCATCTGTTTGTCATTACTGGTGTCATTTTCTGGTTGCTAACGCCATTGTAACACATAATCACTGATGTTCTGCTGTAACGGTGGTGGACTCATCAGAACAGAGTGGGCGAGCTGACCAATCAGAGCACAGTGGGCTCACAGGGAGGGGGGGGCAGGAGCTCCAACAAGTCGTTTAGGACAGAGAGGTAATACACATACTTTACAGAGATGCTGTATGAGAAACCAATGTGAGTTTGGAAAATTTCACAATATAAATCTATTCTAGTAGACCTCAACAATGGAATTATGATCAGTAGAAATGGCCATGACATGGGACCTTTAAGCAACATTTGATTGTCTGATCTTGTTTTTCATGAGATCATTGCATTGCATTGTATTTTTTCACATTATTGTTCCTGTCTTGCAGGAGGGGGAGTGTTAGCTCACACTATTCTAGGTGTGGCATGGAGTGAGACCACTGGACAGATCCGCTATCTTATCCTCGATCCCCATTACACAGGAGCGGAGGACTTACAGGTTATCACAGACAAGGTAACTGTTACAAGCATCTGCACTGGCTGCATTCCTCTCTGTCAAGTACACATTTTCACATCATGTGCTGTATTGATTTTGGTATCTTATCTTTCCCAGGGCTGGTGTGGCTGGAAAGGACCAGATTTTTGGGACCAAACTGCTTATTATAATCTGTGTCTGCCTCAGAGGCCAAAGGTCATCTGAGCTATCATCTAACATTGGTAAAGCATGAGTGACACTATTGTCTGCTACTTTTACAGAAATGTTTCCAGCTTTGCAAGTCATCTCTGTAATGATGTTAAATTGTAATGTAATTCATTTGAATAGCTTTGGTCATATCCTACATAAAGTATTGTCTTAACACGAATGGAAGAACTAAAGATGGATGTAATTTCGTATTGAAACAACAAATTGATTTATTTAATGTAATCTACTTTCTGTACTTGCCATTATAGGAAAAAGGCTCGTAAAATATGAATACCAGATCGGGTCATTAAATCCAGTATACAATTCATCAAAATCAACAAAGTTTTATCATTTCTTACCAGTGCATAAAACAGTAGAGAAATGACTGATTTTATAAATTATTTAAATGTACATAACATTTTGTCATCAGTTTTTCTTAATTCCTTATTTATTTGTTTCTAAGTAATACAAGCAAAGTATGCCACATTTTCTTTGATTCTAGCTTCACATTTGATACGTTGAAGATTCTCTACTTTACTTTTGAATTGTATAGACATAAGATACTAGTTATTTGTCAGCCCTATTACAGACAACCAAATAATGCATGCCTAAAACAAATATCTGTTTTTCTATGGACACCTACATTGAAGGATTATTGTTTTGTATTAATTAGTGAAATAAATAAAATATCTTTGCTAGTGAATATATTGCAGTGAAATTACACTAATCCTCATTTAGCTGAGGACCTTCTGGAAACATTAAGGACCCCCAGGCGCCCTTGGTCTTATTCTAAGAACAACTTGAGTAGAGAAGAAGCTGTGCCTGAATGCAGCATGTCTGACACAGCCCATTATTAGAAAACAATCAGTCCCTGTAATTGAGTTTTCATAACCAGCCAGTTGTCAGAGTCAAATGGATGCTTTTCCATTCTCAACAGTACATAATAAAATGTTGAATTTTCTTTAAAATCTGTTGAGCGTAGACCAGACAGTTCATTTTTCAGAGACGTATTGTCAATCTTTGGGATTTCTTCTCCATGGGCTGATTGTAGTATGGGACGCCACAGAATGAACCCCCATTCAATTCCCATCTCTACCCATCCTGCATAGGCATGTAAATGCTATGACAGTGACCAGACACAGGTTTATACGATAGATTCAACCAAGTCCTATTGTGCTAGGATATTGGAATTTCATTAGTGTGTGTCACTTCTAGCTCTAACAATGTTATTAAGAGAAAACCCGTGACAAATTATAATGTCAGGGGACGCGCCTTCAGATAATCCCCTTTCTTGTTAATGAGTATGCACTAGGGGGAGCAGTTACTTTGGCATAATAGATTTCCAAGGAAAAACTAGATGACCTCTTGTCTGTTCCACTACTTGTTCTGATTCTAGATATGTTTAAGTAGTTTAAACCTTTAGATGACAGAGAAATCACTGCTGTGTTTTTTTTTTTTTCTTAATGTGGTTACTCCTTAATATAGTGTCCTCTGTACTGTGCTTTCGAGTTGCTTAGTTTACCAGATACTTTTGAATGTATACCTTTTTTAACTTTTTATTGCCAAGTAGACTTAAACAAATGTCTTGTCTTGGTGGTTTGGTAAATAAAAAATAATCAGCTAAATTAAAGAAACATAAATATAGTCTAGAACATTGTACAGTACAAATATGAAAGAAAATGGTATAAATTAGTGTTTTGGATATCATTACAAAGAAAACTGTATATGCTGGGTTTATATAGTGTATATAGAATTTGCTAAAAAGAAAACAAGTTTGAAACATACATTTTCAGGCGTTTCACCAGTAAAAACAAACAAACAAAAGTATTTAAAGGTAAACTCCCCAAAAAAGAGTTGTCTTCTCATCTGTGGTGAAAGGAGTACAAAATACATTTAATGCATTTCCTAGTCTTTATAGTTTATACCAATAAAGCATTATTCCAACCAAATACAGAAGCAAGTTTAATAATTATGCCCAGCGTGATTCATTCCATCATACTTTTCTAAGTTTGAAAAAAATAAAGGAACTCAAATCTCTGTGAGAAATCTCATTAAAATAGACTACCTTTTTGTTTTTTTTCTCATTTGATTTATTCAAGAGGATATATGAACATGATATATATTGTATACGAACAATTCAAACCAGGGATAGACCTATAAAGTAATACAAATTACATAAAATAAAGAAAGAACTTTTAAAAACCCTACTGGAGACCGCTGCACGAGAGCAGTCGTTGCCAGGAAGTGACGTTGCCTGGTTACTAGGCACCATCCTGCTGACAGCAGCCAGCTGAAGCACGCTAACGAAGATTTGTTTTTAATGCGGGTTTGCGTTTAATTCGTTTGTCTCTTAATCTTTGTACACCCTCTCTAACGAGGTTAATGCAACTGTAACACGAACCCCTTTTTACCGGTCGACCCTTTACCAGGTAAGATGCGGTTTGTCATACAGCTAAAGTTAGCTAACACGTATACTATCCATAGTTTGACTATAGCTACATAAATTAGCATCACACTTGGAACGTGTTGCAGGTTTAAAACATGCGTTTCCATGGTGGATAATAGATTTACGGTGTAAAGTGTAGTTTGTTACAGTACCTTGACCTCAGTCTTTCTCCAAGAATGCTACACCATGCAAGTAACATGCACATGTGTTTGCAAGTTTTAGCTACAACCTTAACTACAAGTCGTGAATAGTATTATTTTTTAAATGAGTTGTTTGTTCCGAGATGTATTATTCCTACATCCATTGTTTTACATTTATGGTTTGTCAATAAGAAATGTTTTGAAACCTGCTATATAGATAGATATACTGTATAATCCAATACAACAAATAGCATCAAGTCTGAATTGCCTTTATTCTAATGTCAGTTTAATTTATTATTGTATTTATTGGTCAAGGGCTACATACAACGGCATAAGGAGGGGAGATGCATTGTACCAGATTTAGCAACTAGCTCCTTGCCAGTCCCTTGGCAGCTTGACACGTAGACAACAAATATAATGCAATACATTAAATACTAACATCATGCACTACCTTACAGGTTCAGTTTGTTGGGGAGGACTGCCATGTTGAGCCCCGGTGAACTAGAAGGTGAAGTGGACCATTCGTTTTTCGACAGTGATGGTGAAGATACTAGTGCCAGCAAAGATGGAGGGGAAAAGTTGGAGAAAGGCGGGAAGGCTGAAAAGGAGGGTCCACCAGCACACGAGAGGCTACAACCAAAACCAATTGAAAATACAAAAGTCAGCTCTCATTTAAAGGGAGAAGATAAAAGCATGGAATCCAGGATATCATTGGATAAAGTACTCAATGATGGCAGTGCGCCCTCAAAGAGGCGTACATCCCCTACTTTCAGTGAAAGCAGTGCAGGTGCAGACTCAGAGAGCTCCTCTAGAAGTAGCAGTAGGAGAAGCAGTCCAGATTCACGCACCCTTCCCAGGCCCAACAAAACACCTGCAGTAGGTAAGACCAGAGGGGGCTCAGCAGGATCTCAGGGTGTTCCTATTGGCCGTACAGAGGAGTCAGAGGGTACAGTGACAAATGTTAGCCGCCTCTCCTCTCCTGACACCAGCCCTCTCCAGTCGCTGGACCTGAATCACACAGAGAGAAGCCTTAAAGAGCAGCGGAAGGAGAAGAGGGTGCCCTCCAGTGGCCTGAGAGACATGCATCAGGAGGAGGACTCAGACCAGGATGTGGACGAGTGTGAGTTAACATGTTTGCTGTGCTCAGGCTTTTTTTGTTTGTATTTCCCTTTTTTTAAATTAAGCAATATCTACCTACCTCAAGGGCAAAAACGAACAATTAGTCGTTTGGCCCATAACATTTTAGAAAATAGAAAGACATGTTCTTCCCAGTTTCAAAGAGTCCAATGTGTTATCTTTAAATATCTTGTTTGGCATTGCAAGGTCTAAAGATTCTCAGTTGAATATGCTTTAAAACAGAGAAACTCAGGAAAGTGTTCATTTGAGAGGCTTAAAACCACATTATCTGACATTTTTGCAAGAAAAAAAGCTATTAAAATTACTTTAATGACAAGTGACAGATGACAAAGTACTTAAATAACACTTATAGTGACACCTTATTGCTAGTAAGCACCTTAGTGTGGACAGGATTTTGATAAAATATCATAAAATAAGTGAATAATGTTTCTCAAGTAGTTTGATTCAAATAAGTGTAAAAGACCAAAGATGTGAACTATGTCAGACTACAGTGTGTGTAACATTGTTGCTACTCTCAGATTTGGTAACTTTACTTCTTATTTATAACATGACAGAAATAGTTCAATCAATCAATGTTTATTTATATAGCCCAATATCACAAATGTTACATTTGTCTCATTGGTCTTCACAGTTTGTACAGAATATCAGTATGACAATACGACACCCTCTGTCCTTAGACCCTCACATCGTACAAGGAAAAACTTCCGGAGAAAACCCACAGTTTAAAGGGAAAAATGGGAGAAACCTCAGGGAGAGCAACAGAGGAGGGATCCCTCTCCCAGGACGGACAGACGTGCAATAGATGCCGTGTGTAAATTGAAAAGATAATACATTTACAACATAGGTAGTCCAAATGTTTGGAAATGCATGTGTGTATAATAGGAAGATGAATCCACGAGGATATCCATCCAGGACCTATGATCCAGGACCACAGCCACGACTCAAGATCCAGGGCTCGCGATCCAGGACAGAGGAGCGCAGGATCATCCATGACTCCGGATCCCGGCGTATATAGACACCAAAAAGAAAGACATTTGGGGAAGCTGGTTAATCAGAACATGAGAGTACACAGGTATAGACAGAGAGAAGGAAGAAGTAAGATGTCCCCCGACAAACTAAGCCTATATCAGCAAAACTAGGGGCTGAATCTAATCAGCCCTAACTATAAGCTTTATCAAAAAGGAAGGTCTTAAGCGCACTCTTAAAAACGGATAGGGTGTCTGCCGCCCGAACACAACCTGGAAGCTGATTCCACAAATGTGGAGCTTGATAAGAAAAGGCTCTGGCTCCCATTGTAATTTTAGAGACTCTAGGAACAACCAACAACCCTGCATTCTTGGAACGCAATGCCCTAGTAGGACAGTAGGGTATAATGAGTTCTTTAAGGTAAGATGGCGCCTGCCCATTAAGGGCTTTGTAGGCGAGAAGAAGAATTTTAAATTCTATCCTGTGTTCTATAGGGAGCCAGTGTAAGGCAGCCAGAACAGGAGTAATGTGGTCCCTTTTTCTAACTCTGGTTAGTACACGAGCCGCAGCATTTTGAATCAGCTGAAGCGACGTGACTGACTTCTTGGTACACCCTGATAATAAAGAGTTACAATAATCCAGCCTTGAAGTAACAAATGCATGGACTAGTTTCTCTGCATCGTTTTGAGGCAAGATATGCCTGATTTTTGCAATGTTACGTAGATGGAAGTAGGCGGTCCTTGAAATTGATTTTATGTGGGCGTTAAAGGATAAATCCTGATCAAATATAACACCAAGATTCCTTACAGTCTCACTGGAGGCCAAATTAATGCCATCCATGGTTAATATATCTTTAGATAATTTGTTTCGTAGATTCTTCGGGCCAAGTACAATAACTTCAGATTTGGTCGTGTTTAACATCAAAAAGTTTAAGGTCATCCACGTTTTTAAGTCCTTAAGGCAGTCTTGAATTTTATTTAGATGATTAATTTCATCAGGCTTGATTGATAAATATAGTTGAGTATCATCCGCATAACAATCAAAATGAATACAAATAGTTTTATACTTAACATCAACAGATATATTTCCTCACACCTAACATCTGGAATAATTTGCACTAAGCATGCTTAGTATTATACTGTATTACCTGTTATAATACTTTAATCATTAGACATTTTGAAATGTTGTTTCAGTTATTCAAAATGTCTATACAAGTATACAACCCTTTGAATTATGCTATTGAAATGTGGCTTTTTTTAAAAGTTTGTAGATTCAGTTTTTCAGTGTAGTTTATTTGTAACCCATCGCACCTGGTTCACCTTTGATTAAAATCTATTAAAACATTGCATAAAGCATAACATTAAAAACATTGAATAAAACATTTTAAAATGCAGATTAAGAAACTGTAACAGTTGTTCTTTTCACTGATCAGGCTCCCTCAGGACAGAGAGCCATCTTGAAGGTGAACTGGTCTTCCGCCATCCTGGACGGAGAAGCAGGAAGAACTACTCATTCAGCAATGATGAGGCTCGACGCATAGAACGGGAGAACCATCGCCTTCTTCGGGAGATCTCGCGCCATTCTCCAGCACCAAGACCAGGAAGCAGCGCGAGGAAGAAAACCCATCCGGCCAGCAAGTCGCCGTTTATCCGACTCCCTCACAGCGCACTGAACAGGCAGCGGGAACAGCAGCGCATCGAGAGGGACAACCTGGTGAGTTCTGCTTCTGGGGGTCAATACTCATTTCAATATTTACAATAACACTAAAGCCTAAACATTAGTTTAAATGGCAAGGCAAGCTTCTTCTTTTTTGCTTTTCAAGATAAATTATTCAGTGCTCTTTAAAGTAAAGTTTTTAAAGAACATTCTCTTTAGGTCGGTGGTTTTATTATCTGTAGGTCAGTGTTGTTGACGTTTACCTCATGCTCATAATGTTTCAACATCTATGTAATGAGGTATTCATCGTCATTTGGTTTATCAGATTCTCCTGTAGCAGGTAAGTAGCACGAAATGTTTTAAAGTTCATTACAACCTCATTCGCTGTATACACTCTTGCTTTTGCCTTGAGCAGTGTGAATACAAAAAATGAAAACAAATCATTGTGGTGAATTAAAACAATTCTGAAATAAAAATGTAAAATGCTTTAGTATCTGTTGGTAGGTTGCATTGGCGCTGTTGTGTTTCTTAAAACAAAAATCCAGATTTCTCATTTAAAACATACCGTCTATCCAAAGTGGCTGAAATGCGCAAAGCTGCTGTTGGCTCTGTTCTCAACTGTTCATTCATTGCTGTCAATAAGAACATACTGCGGTCCATTTCTTAAATGATCTATTGTTCATTTCCATAACACCCCACAATTAATCTATTACAGCATCTTTACATATTTTGTAAGACTCAACTCAGTGCATTTTATTTTGAATGAATTCTTTGACAGTACTGTACATGATGCACTAATTGAAATTATACATATTTATTCTAAACTGAAGCAGAAAGGAAAACCTTTAGAATCTGCAGGTTACATTTCAAGTCATTATTCACAAGCATAACATTGAGTACCATATTGTTGTACCTTTAGCCTAAGTAGATGTCTGTTACATCATTATTTTAATGCATACTCTTCTCCTGAAGTTATATTATTTTAAAGGTTCTAGTTAGTTAGGGTGAGTTAGTGCCGGAGTAAGAGTGCCACCCCCCTGAAAGAAGACACTGATGGACTGGGACAGATGGCAGCGCCTCACACTGACATTAAAAGACGGTTCAGCCTCTGCAGCTTTGGCCTTTCACTACACAGTGCGCTCGCACCCCATAAATGACCTGCTTAACCACATTGTGATAGAAGCAAACCAGCTGCAGTGTTCAGATCATTCTGAGAATTATAATTGACATCAAGCACGGCGTTATCGTCTGCTCTGACAAGTGTAGGCAGAACACTAGCATTATTTTCTTCACTTGTGGTTCATGCTATTATTATTAGTTTGAGATCTCCCATATTGCTGAGTGATGTTTTATCAGGGAATGTGCTCCAGTCATCTTCAGGACAGACTGTTCTTTCCCTTGCGTCCATGTCTCAACGTTGTCAGAAGTGCTTTTCGCCTTCTCTATTCTTAGAGTGAAGTAACTCAATCTGCACTGTATTAAGTGTATCCACCCTACCCCACACATCAAGGAAGACGCCACGTTTGTCCTGCACAATTCAAAGTACTTCAAGTTTGTTCAAATTCACAATATATCCTCAAACAAGTGATTGATTTAGTGACCAGTCTGTCTTCACTTTTGCATTTGTATCACCTCAGGTGGACTTTGTAAACGTTGTTAGCTTCATTGCTTGATGTGGAGTTTTTGCTGACTGAGAGATTTCTGCACAGCATGCACGTGGGAGCGTGCACGTATGACATTCAGCCACTTGCCCACACTGTTCTGCATCATGCTGTTTGATTGTGTTTGCTGTGAAGTACCAGATCTTTTTCTATGATCATATCATGCTTGGGATATGCAAAATAAATAAACCCTTCGTAAATGTGGTTTGAAGTTATGTTTGTTAAAAGACAAAACAAATGTGATTACATTTGGGCAAATATATCAAATGCTACAAAATGTTTTATCGTTCACATAAAACTCCTGCTGCGTTTTATGCATTTGTTCGAACTAAATACTTAGAGGGTCTCTTCATCCTTTTTTAATTATACAAAATGTAATTGTGTTTAATTATGTATAATAAAGCACTTCACAGTAATGCATACATTCACACAATATTGCTTACTGCACATATTTTATATTCTATAACTTATTGCATTCTATTTCAATATAAATTACTGCTTTATTTTATTGCTATCTTACTATGTTTGTTTTACAGTGTTCTTAATATAGTTCACTATCTGTGTTCTTTTTTACATTTGAGTTTTTTAATTAATATGTCTGCACCACGACACCTAGCCAAATTCCTCGTACGTGTGAACCTACCTGGTAATAAACCCGTTTCTGATTCTGATTCCTTACAACAACGAAACCACATTTACACATGCTGAAATCTTTCCAAAGTGAGCCTGTCTGATATCCTGAAGTACCCACGACTCGTTAAACCTAATTGTTTTACCAGTTTGCCAAGATAATGACAATGTACTGCATGTATGAATCACCACCTTCCAGGTAACTAATGTCATTGTGTTTTGGTTCAGGCTCTCCTGAAGAGGCTGCAGACCGCCAAGCCGACGCCTGGCCTGAAACGCTCAGAACAACTGCAGGACTTCCAGCGACAAGCCGCATACTTGGGAGCTTCATCATACCCAATGTCCACACACAAGAAAGAGAAGTCTCCCAGCAAGACGCCCTCAGGTAGGTAATGTTGATCCAGATCTGCCTTTTCCTGCTTTTAAAAATGATATGTTGGATACCTTAAACAGGATAAGAACATGGTGATTGAGTACCTGCTCATACAAGGTCCGCAAACAGATATGAAACAGTTTAAATAACAAGGATGTGCCTTATTGGCCATATTAGGGCTATCCATCTCACAGTGTCTGGGACTAAAACACGAGGGCTAGGAGATGTTTTTATCACTTAAAGACAGGAAGCTGCACACCATAAACACACCTTTGCTGCCACTGAGTGTTGTCGGCCCACAAGAGCAGTTTGACCCCAGCAGGAGTGGTTTTGTGGCAGCCTGCTGGCGTTTGCATGTGATGATCTAATCAAGGTAAACAAAGAGGATCAGCATGTGGCACTGCGCTGCGAGGCTTCTCCTAGAATGAAAGCTGCAGATGTATGGCGCATGTCTGTGCTGCTGCCTTCAGATAGCTGCAGAGATTTAATTAACAGAAGAAGAATTTCAGACATTAAAAAGCAGCTGATGAGTGACACTGGTAAGAATCACCCATTTATACATGATCTAATAACGGATGAATTGATAATGCTATTTTCATAGAAAAGGTATTTGAGTATCTGTTAATACCTTTTCCTGTTTCTTCAAATTGTGTTAACATTAAATCCTTGTTGGGTTCATGTGTCAAACTTTAAATCATCATCCGCTTGCTTTCTTTACAGACTCTGATAAACATGTTTGTGCTTGTGCGTGTTTACCTGTACTGCAACCGATTGTTTTGGCCCTTTATGGATGAAATGATCAAATATCTGTTTTTCTCTACAGACATTTGGACTCAAAATGTCTTCTGATTTCGTTATGAATCGGTAAATCTGAAAATATTGTTCTGTATTTCACAGCAGCAGGACCCAGGCCGGGCAGTTCGGCCCCCCACAGCTCCAGTGCAGCTTCCCCCTCACCTGACCCTGGTGATACTCCCGTACCCCGGACAAAGAGAACGAGTGCAGCCAAACCAGAACACAGCCATGATGAAAAATAAACTTGTTTTCCAGCGAGTGATGATGCCATTTCATCTGTATTTCTTCCTTTCCCCCCTTTGTTCATATTTGTACAGTTTATGATGCACATAAGAATAATTAAATATGTATTTGAAATATTATTTGGTGTTATGTATATTGTGTGCCTTCAAAAACTAAGCTGGTTGATCGAGCAATTAGTTTCCAACTTTAAATTGGGGAATGATGGACCAAAAAAATGATATTCTCTTGTTTCCTAAAACGTACCTGTACAAACTGAACCCATGTGGCAATTAAAACAAACAATAGGTTTATAGATTGGTTGTAGATGAAACTACTCCAAATATTTCTGTGGTACTCTTGATATTATAAAAAAGTTCTAAAAAACCCAATAATGCTGTGGTACAAACCTTTCAGGTGGTTAATATTGTTTTCTTCTGGTGATGTATGAGCAGATGTTTGCTTTGTCTACCAAAAGTGCAATTACTGCAATTACTTTCCAATTTAAAGATTGTGGATATTTTTTTGATGATGGCTAAATTGTGTTTAGCTTTTATTCTCAAGGATCTGTTATTATACATGATGGCACACTGTCATGGCTTATTGAGTCACAGGGCCATTGTTATTGTCATTAGTTAAGGCTGTACTTGTTCTGCTATATGTCAAAAGGCCTGCTCTGAAAGGTTCCTATTTAACTGATGGTGGGTTGCTGCGAAAACAGAACAAGCATCACAAATACTGGAATATTAGACTAATACATCTTTATTATTAATAAAATATTAGGTGAGGTTGAATTCATGGGTCAGAGGGGTCACAACATAACAACACATGGACCTCAGCAACTGAAACACTGGCTTCTGTCACACTGAAAGGCAGTCTGTACGTTGTAGATGGGATATATACAGATTTCTGAGGAGGCATGTTAACCCAGGTCAACAGTTTACCTGTACATGCCTATACATTGTAATTCACCACAAGATGTTGTCACTCGATTACAAGAAATAAGACCTTAACAAAGTGAAGGGTTTCCTTGGGGACTGGGAGAAGTCTCTTATGTGTACTTCTTGATCTCATCGTACAGCACCAACACAAAGGCACCACCCATGCCTCTGATCACGTTGGACCAGGCTCCCTTGAAGAAGGCCTTTCCTCCCTCATCCTTCAGGATCTTCCTCCAGCAGTCCATTGTGCCCGTGTACATGATGTCAGCTGTGGAAATGGAGACATGGCAGTGAAACATAATGCGGGTGCATGCGTAAATTGCGCCACACTAACCATATCCATCTCTCTGAGAACATTGTTCTACATGCACGAGTGAAACCTCACCTCCTTTGCGTCCAGACTGCATCATCATACGACGTCTGACGGTGTCGAGGGGGTATGAGATGATGCCAGCTGCAGCGGTGACAGTCTGGGCGATCGCCCAGGTGATGATGATGTGCGTGTTCTTGGGATCTGGCAGCATACCTGTATGAGGGGAAATTAAAGTTACAAACTCGTCCCGAAATACAAAATATACACTCGTTAAAAACCTTATTTAAGTCCGATTTCCGCACCTTTAGCTGTGTCAAAGCATCCGAAGTATGCAGCTCTGTAGATGATAATGCCCTGCACTGACACGTTGAATCCGAGGTAAAGTCCTTTGATGCCATCGCTTTTGAAGACTTTGGTGAGGCAGTTTCCAAGACCGGTGAACTCTCTCCCAGCCGGGCCCTTGCCGATGTCGGCTGCGAGTCTTGTTCTGGCGAAGTCGAGAGGGTAGACGAAGCAGAGCGAAGTCGCGCCGGCGGCACCGCCAGATGCCAGATTGCCCGCGAAGTAGCGCCAGAACTGTGTTTTTTGATCCACACCACCAAGGAAGACCTTCTTGTACTTGTCTTTGAAGGCGAAGTTCAGGGCTTGGGTGGGGAAGTAACGGATGACGTTGGCCAGGTTGCCTCTCCAGAAAGAAATGAAACCTTGTTCCTGTGGGATCCTTCTCATACAGTCCATGATCCCCTTGTACTGCATATCTGCGGTAATCTGTTTGCTGGCATGCTGGACCTAAAGGAAAAGACAATGAAAGCACATTTAAAAAACTCCCATTGAAAATCTGATTCATATCTCCTGTTTAAATGTGCCTAAAGGAACGTTGTCACACTCCACTTTAACAACAGAATAAATAGTATTGTATTCCAATTAAAATACTTTATTGTATTAACATAATCGGCCAGGCTTTAATGTGTGTAGTTGTATGCCTAGAAGCCTACATGAATGCATGCCCCTGTCATTTGAGAATCAGCTGTGTATTACATTACATAGTTCAAGTTAAATTTAGCAATACAATTTAAATAAATATTACTGAGCTCGTCTGTTACATTAAAGTGATAATTACCCTAATAAACGCACCAATAGCTCATAAACTACCATTATGACCATTTTATTGACACATTTTAGAAGTTGTCATTGGCATCATGGCACAGCAACGTTGCGAAGTCTTGTGCGTATTCACACTGAGCCAGAGGCTCTCACGTGCCCCTTAACTTTACGCACTAGACCAGATTAAATTACAAAGTGCATAGTTGGACTTTTTTTCCCATTCAAACTTTTCTAAATGTACATTTTTCGCGTTAGGTTGATCAGTAATGTCATATTTACGCACACTTTACGCACACAAGATTGAGGATGCGGGCATGCTTTGGGCATCTGTTGGTTAAATGATTTTACCTGCAGCAACAACTTGACTCTCTCAATGGGAGCTACAGCTGTTTTGGAGATGGCAGCGGCCACGCCACCGGCCAAAAAGTCCTTCATGAAACTTATCACAGCGTCCGACATGGTTGGATCTTTCCTGGGCAGATATGAGACTGAAACTTTCTCGAGGTCCTCAAGGAAACCCAACGCCCCTCAAACTGGACGAGGCCTCCTCATCTTCCCTTATATATGGGGGCCATTTATCGCGAGAATTTTGAGTGATGGATATGCATTAAGTCAAATAGTTGGACGAGGCTGAATACATTTCCGAGGTTAAAGTTCAAGACGTGCGCCATGTTGCCGAAATCAAGAAATGGAAAATCCGGGGACGTTTAAAGGACACAATGTGGAATTTGATTATTTTTAAAACATAGATGTATAAGTTATCTAATCGAATGCTAATTACAGTAAAGTATTCTAATGTCATTTCTGCTGGCAACATCTTTTTAATCTATCCAATCGTTTACTTGTGGGTCTCAACAATAAATAAATGATCTATATTTATAGTGTTCTTGAATGGAAATAAATATGGTGAACTGTTTACAGTCATCCTACAAAATACAGACCATTTCTTGACATTAATTCCATTCATTTAGGTGGGATACACCCTGACAAATACAGAGACATGTGCACAGTGATTTCCTTTGTAATTATTTCCACACCAAAACATACGTAATGTTTACTACAGACAATGCAACAATAAATTCCAATTTGTATTAAAATAATGGGAATGTAACTTCAAAAACACCCTTTTGATTATGCTTCACAGTTTGGATGTATGGGGTAGTACCCCAGAGAAAAATAAGGAAAGAACGCAATTAAATCTCCACACTCACATTTATTTTAAATAAAATAATAAATGTCCCTCAACTCGTTGACAGTTTTGCTGCACATTCATTTTGTGCACCTATTGAAAACAGGCGTGAACTCAGCATGATGTAAAGCAGGAGTCAAGAGCAGAAAAGACTACTTTCAAAATAAGGTGCCACTGCCACCAGTACTCCCCAAAAGCAACACAAGCCTTTAGTCCGTTTTGATTTGAAATATCGTAGCGGAAATCTAACTCTCAGTGACTTGACATGAGGGAGTTCATCAGTGCCCGCCCCGTGCATGCACATCGGACACGAAAACGCAATATGATCCAAGGTCATATGATCCAAAATGAAGCCAAGTTGGCTGGAGACGCATTAGAAATAACACCTTCCTACAGTAGGGGGTCGTCTCCAAGACTTCTTCATTCATATAATCACAAAACGTATGGCTTTCAATTAGCCATGGAATAGTAGGCTACCTGACAAAAAGGAAAACAAATATGTAACTCAAGAAAGTCTCAAATACTTATTAAATTAAACTAAAATGAAAATACAGTATAATAACTGTTACTGAGGTTCCACTAGCTTTTGACTCTAACTGCCACTGAATGACCACTTGGGGGCGCTGCCTGACTGTGTTGATTCATAGGCAAACTGAGTTTCAAAATGTTTCTTAACAGCATAATATTGAACTAGTAGCAAGATAGATGAAACCTTAATAACAATGAAAATAATTTTTAAAAATAATGTTGAATTGTAATAAATGATATGTTACAAACATCTATCGATATATTTAAATGATGTAGACACCTGGCGTTTCTGTGGTATCAGTCACTAATAAATATAATCTCATTAATTATTTAGCAAAAATTATATTTTGTTTTATTATTTTGCCAAGGGAGGGAGATGTAATTAGATGGTGACCCTGTTGCTAACATGTTGGAGAAAAAATTACGTAGACATGGATTCTTACACATTTAATCTTAATGTTTTGCATGGATATAAACTAACATAAACTGGATAAACTAAAAGAAAATTGGGCTGGTTTCTTATCTGGCGCCTTCTTTCCCTGCAGTTCTTCTCTCCCATCCCTGTGCGGCTGTGTTGTGCTTTTTAGTCAGGGGGGGGCACCAGAGAGCTGGGTCCCTAGAGCATCTCTCACATCCCCACAGTGACATGTGGTACCCAGTGAAACAGGTGCTTTTCCTCATTTACTCCACACTCCATTCTCAACAATACAAATAATGCACCACTTTACTTGTTCCCCACAGGGAAATATTCCTATTAAGCTCCCACCAGCCAGGTCAGAGGTCACGCTCAGCTGCACCCTTGGAGCTGGTTAGGGATTTAGCATCTTGTTCACGTCAGCACTTCACTCAGGCAGATGCTTGCTGACACAGGGGCTTGCACCTGCTTTTGGAGAAAAAAAGTTGTAGATTGTTTTGCAGTTGCGAGGCACACAGACTTATCATTATCACATCTCTTTTTAATTCTAAGCTTTCTCAGAATCTCGCACATACTTAGCAAGTATCTAACAGTAAATCTTTGACTTTTTAAAGTCACATGAGACATCACACATTTATCAGGATTTTCTGATGACTTGTTTTATAAAATGTCTTCCTTATGAAATATCTCTTTATATGTGTATGTTACATGTGTGAATTAATGTAAGT